CAAAAGCAACGTAGCCAGGACACAGGAAAGGCCAAGAGGAGAATACTGGCGGAGGCAAGATAGCAGAGGCCTCAGTGGGGAAAGATATCTTTAAGATGATCAAATGGGCCCATTCAACTGGCTCCTTTCATTCCCCCCCTCTTGTAGATGAAGAGACTGGGCGAACGCGAACAACCCCTAGAGAGAAAAGAGACCTTCTGCAACAGGTGCTCTTACAGAAGGCTGCAAGCAGAGAGGATATCCCAATCAGCTGGTCCAACCCACCATCTGTCAAATTACCTTTTCCTGTTGCCTCAGCACATGAGATACAAAGTTCTCTGCTGAACACAGGTAATACCACTCCAGGAACTGATGGAGTGCCAACAGAGGTGCTACGAAAGGCATGGCCACATATTAAGGTATCAGTGGAAAGGCTGTTCAGAGCCTGCCTTAGGGTTGGCTGGCACCCAACCTCCTTTCGAGATGCCACACTGGTTGTGCTGCCTAAGGTCAACAGAGATCCAACACTCCCGCGATCCTACAGGCTTATAGCCCTTCTCTCAACGTTGGGGAAGGGACTGGAACGCCTGGTAGCCCGTAGGCTGGCCTGGACAGCTATACAAGAGAAGATTGTCCACCCCCAGCATTTTGGAGCCCTCCCTGGGCGGGCTGCCTCAGACCTAGTGGCAGCGATGGTTCATGATATAGAGGAAGCCTGGGCCCATGGAAAAGTAGTCTCTCTTCTTACTCTGGACATCAAGGGTGCTTTTGATGCTGTACTCAGAGGAAGGATGCTACAGAGATTGCAAGAACAAGGCTGGCCACCAAATTTAATTAGATGGGTGGAAAGCTTCATGACAGGACGCACAGGCAGGATCAGATTGGATGGACTCCTGGGAGAGCTCTTTGATATCCCAGCAGGGCTTCCACAAGGCTCGCCAGTCTCACCTATTCTATTCATGCTGTTTATTCAGCCTCTGTTCTTTCTAGGAACTATACAAAGAAGACGTGCACGCTTAGGCTACGCAGATGATCTAGGACTGCTTAGTGCTGGAACCACTCTTGAAGGGAATGTTGTTACTCTCCAGGAGGATTTCAAGTTGCTAAATGATTGGGCCAGCAAAGAAGGGCTGACATTTGATTTTGCCAAAACTGAGATAGCACACTTCACACGGCGCAGAACCCTTTCAAACCCCTCAATTGACCTTGAAACAACATCTGGCACTCACTCTATTACAGCAAAGGCAGTGAAAAGCTCCATAAGATATCTAGGAATCTGGCTAGATAGAAAACTGAGCTTCAAGAAACACGTGGAGACCATGGCGGCTAAGGCACGACAGGTGTCTAATGGCATACGAGCACTAAGCAACACAGCAAGAGGTGCCCCAGTACAACTGCTTAGACAATCCATTCAGGCCTGTGTGCTCTCTGTGCTCTGCTATGGAGCAGAGGCCTGGTGGCCTGGAGCCACACGAATGGAGAAGGGAAAGGAAATCTCCAATCAAATGGATTGCCTAGTCAGAAAGCTAGATCTAGCCCTTAGAGATGCTTTGCAAGGGGCACTGCCAGTCTACAAGACCACACCCATTTCAGCTCTACACCGTGAGCTAGGAATCATGCCAATGAAAGAGACACTAGACAACCGGCGTGCTGTATTTGCAGTAAGAATCAAAAAGCTTGACAAGAGGCACCCGCTAGTGAGACGCTCTAATAAAGTAGCTACCACCAAACCCTATACCACACGTCTGTCTAGAGCGTCCAGTCATGCTGGTGGGATAGAAGCATATGACCCTCTACTCACGCCCCCTTGGATGAGATTTCCCAGGAAAGAAGATCTGCAGATTGGGTATGAGGCAGGCCGCACAAAGGAACAGGCAGCACAAGACTTTAAGAGCTGGCTACAACAACGCAATCCCCTGGATCTGGTGGTCTTTACTGATGGTTCACAGATAGAGCACCCTCAGCGTGTGACTGGTGCAGGATGGGCTATATGCTGGGGTAGCAAACACCGTCTAATCTCCACAGGAAACCTGCCAATGGATAAAGCAGAGGTCTTTGACGCAGAGGCAATGGCAGCCCTGCAGGGCCTAAAGGAAGCCACCACCTTGCCTCAGGCGAAGTTTGCCAGCAACGTCTACATTTGCCTAGACAATTTGGAGGTAGCATGAGCCCTTGGATCCGTGTCAAACACCTCTAGCCAGCAGGTCTTCGCGCAGTTTCTGAAAGCCATAAAGGCCTGGCAGAGCAGGGATAGGCTCCCATTGGCCACCCAGAGCAGGGTGGTCATTAGATGGGTCCCAGGCCACGCAGGCGTGGCTGGTAATGAAAAGGCAGATCTTGAAGCCAAAGCAGCCGCAGCGCAGGCAGCAAGTGCAAGCATGGTACCTCAACCTGACAGCATAGGCACTCTAGCTTATATAAAGTGACACACTATGGAACAAACCACACGGGCCTTTGAGAACTACTGGGCCAAAAATCAGCCCAAACGCTATATGGAGCTGGAGATCCCACTAAAGAGAGCCTCAACAGAGGTAAAACTTTCATGCTTCACATTAGGAAAGCTCTATGCCGCCCGATCAGGTCATGGAGACTTTGCAGCCTACCACAGCCACCTTAAGCATGAAGATGCAGAGTGCTACTGCCGGTGCGGACATAGCAAAACTCCAGAACATTTCTACTATTGCACTCTTGCAAGAAAAGCAGCAAAGCGGTGCTGGCCTATCTACAATCTCCGTGAGACACTGGCAACCTCGCGTGGGGCCCTAGAATTCAATAACTGGCTAAGAGAAACAGCCTTCTATCAGAATATCTGTCCAATGCGCCGTCGCGCACCTCCAGATCAGATCCCACAGACCATTCTCTCCTCTGTCTTGCCCCTGTCTTCCTCACCACCTCCTCCTCCTTCCTCTCTTTCCTCTCCTTTCTTTCCTTCCTTGCCTTCCTTCCTATCCGCCTCCCCTACCTCCCTCCCACAAACCTAAAACCTCTCAAAACCTCTGCTCTATGGCAACCGACCCATGGGCTCTGCCGGTGCAGCAATACGCAACCCATTTTTGCCTCATTTGTAAGATAGCTACTAGATAGGTAGTCGCCTACGGGCGTAGCTCTACCCGCCCTATAGTTTGACGCGGACTCTACTAGATCACGTGCCCTTAAGGCACGTGGACTAACCGGGCGTTAAATAAAAACACACACACACACACTCTACCCCCACAAGCTCAGCATCACGTGGTTTTCAGCCCGCTGTCTATTGGTCACATGGTCACCAGCCAATGAGCGAGCGGGCATTGACCCTGTTCCCCACTTAGTCATTCATTACCTATTCCATGGTATCCCAATCACAATGCGTGGACGTTTCTCGGATTGAAAACTTGCGGCTTAGATGGCCCCCCTCCCAGCAGGAGAACAGCCTCCCTTATTCCTCTCTCTCCCTTCTCTCCCTATCTTCTCTCCCTATCCTCTCCCTCTCTCTATCTAAACCCAACCTCCTTTCCTACGGAGGATATTCCCCAGCATCACGGCAATTCCTATTTTGAGTGAGCGGCCACAGAGACGAGAGAACCCATTGCAGCCGGCCTGCCTCGTATAGCAAGATGCGCTCTTGCGGGTCCTCTGCTGCGTTGGATAAAGCTCTGGCTTATTGGCTTCTACCTCTCCGTCTTCTTCTCCCACTGCGGATGGTGCTGGCGCTGTTGCTGCTGGCTGCGGCCGTTATTACTCCCGAGCATACATAGTCGTCGAGGCTCCTGGTGCTGTCCCCCATATAGCAGCGCCTCTTGCCCTCTAAACCATTTCTTCCCGGTCTCCCCGGTCTCCCCGTTCTGCCCATTCTGCCCATTCTGCCCACACTGCCCACCGCCTGCGCCCACGTGGTCTCTCGTCCTGGCTGCTGCCCTGGGCTGCTCTCCCCAGGGTAGGCATATAGCTAAAGAACATGATAGCGTCATCTCCCACGTCGGCTGCGCTTCTGCGCACTGATTCTGCCCGTTCGCCGGCCAGTAATATAGCCTTCCCTGCTTGCACTCATTACTACGGTACCACAACCCCCCCCTCCGGCAAAAGCAAGACCAACGACCAACCCCCTGCTCCCCCAACAAGCCACCCTCATCCACATCTGCCTCCGCCTCCTTCCCCAAGTATCTCATGGCCCCGACGCCCCTTGTCCGATCCTCAGCACAGTTTTGGCGTCGAGGAAATACGATCCGCCTTACGGAGGCAGACCGTGACGCCGGGACTCAGTACTCGCGCCCCCCACCCCGCAACTAAGCCTGCCCCTCCCCCGGCCGTCTCAGCGCTAACGAGACAATCACGATGTAACAAATGCCCTTCGGTCCAACAGAAGGCCAGAGGAGTATACCTTCCCAGGCCGATTCGCAATGCCATCGACGC